ACCTATTCTCTTATGCTGATTGTGCTTTCTTCACCAATTTCCGCTACCAACGCTCCTGTATATATAGTGTGCTCTGCCACGAATTCCAGGTAGGTCCTTCTCTCTGCTCTATTTCATTTCGCTAAATAAAAGCAATTGCATTTAAACGCGATAAGTGGCTGATGAAGAAATTTAACGGAGTTGGCTGGATTTGTTAATCAGCATGCAATTCTTGACCTATCCACTTCCAGGCTTCTTCAGACCTAGGGTGGATTCAACTGAGTTGGGTGTGGCAAAAAACCTTTAAAAAGAAAGAACAAAAATTGGTGTACTTGAGTGCACTTCACTTTTACATGCCTATAAGCCACAATTTTTTCCATTGCGTTCATCTCTTTGATATTGCCACTTCATGTCGTGATCTGAGTCGTATGAACCACGAAAGACATGGTTGCAAAGAGTCGAAGTTTGCAATAAGCAATATGGCATATACATAGAAATGATTGTTTTACCTACTAACAGTTAAGGCACTTATAAATAGGGAACACAGAGTCAGGCGGGTGGGCGCCGGTGGAGACGGAAGACTAGAAAAGATAAGTGTCGGTTTTCCAGCAGTGTTGACATCACACCTACTCGGTGTTCTTTGTTACTCGTAAGTTCTTGAAGCGGTGCTGCACGATCCACTGCAAAATCCAATGCTCCGAATCTACTTGACGGAAGACTACTCCGGTCTGTTTGTTGAATAGAATGGGATGTAAAAATGTGTGCACCGAAGCTTAATTTAGAAGCCGCAATGAATGCAGGGTTTACAGGTACCCACACCCCTACTACGGACTTAAAATACAAAAAAAACAAAATTTTGCAAATTAGGCTGAGTTATAGATTAAAGTGCAATGAGATGGCCTGAATCGCCACTACCTGCAATTTTAAGTGCTTGTCAAAACAATGTCACTTCGTTACTTTTTAGCTATAGCAATAAACGGCGTGTTGTCTACAAATTATTGGTAACACTGATCAGATAACCAATGGGTAAGGTGGATGCCAGAGAAATGGCCTTCTTGATTACCGCGAGAGAGGTCAATGCATTGGCGCAACGTGAACGTACTTCCTAATAATTGACCAGTGATGACTTTTG